TTTCCCAGTCTGTAGGTTGTCTTTTGACTCTTTTGGTGAAGCCTTTTGATGAGCATAAATGTTTGACTTTTAGGAGCTCCTAGTTATATAGTCTCTCTTCTGTTGTTTGTGCATTTTTACTTATGGTTCGTATTGTGTTTATGCCTTGGATTAGGGCTCCTAGCATTGTCCCTATTTTTTCTTCCATGATCTTTATTGTTTTCAATTTTATATTTAGGTCTCTGATCCATTTTGAGTTAGTTTTTGTGCATGGTGTGAGGTATAGATTTTGTTTCAATTTTTTGCAAATGGATATCCAGTTATGCCAGCACCATTTGTTAAGGAGACTATCTTTTTCCCCAATTAACGGACTTTGAGCCTTTGTCAAATATCAGCTGCTCCTAGGTGGCTGAATTTATGTCTGAATTCCCAATTCTGTTCCATTGGTCTATGTATCTGTTGTTGTACCAGTACCAGCCTGTTTTGACTAACCTGGCAGTATAATAGTTTCTAAAATCAGGTAGCGTGAGGCCTCTTGCTTTGTTCTACTTCTTGAGTAGTGCTTTACTTATCCGGTGCCTCTTCCCTTTCCATATGAAGTTGGTGATTTGTTTCTCCATCTCATTAAAAAATGCCGTTGGAATTTGGATCGTGTTTGCATTGTATCTGTAGATCGCTTTGTGTAGAACTGACGTTTTCACAATGTTGAGTCTTCCTATCTGTGAGCAAGGTTATGTTTTTCCATTTATGCAGGTTTCTTTTGGTTTCTTGCAGTAGTGTCTTGTAATTTTCTCTTTGAATCTTTAGGCGACTTGTAGAAATTGATTTTTCAGCTTGGTCGTTGGTCTTCAATAAATGTTTCAAATTTTATGGAATGTGTTCAGGAAATCCTGATGGAAGTCAGAACACTAAAAATTTATGCAGGAGGGATTAGTGTATAGCCAGCTAGGATAACTAAGGAAGTGGTAGAAGAAATAGAGAAAGTAGAGTGTATCTTATGTGTTTCTTCTTTTAAAAAAAATGTAATAGGAACACTTTGGTATTCAGAGGTGCATTTTTAGAGTCATTCTACCAGTAGTCATGAATTGAGGTATATCCATTACACTCTCTTGCTCCTTTCTCTTTGTAATCAATGAGTTGTTTTCCCAGGATAGAAAACTTGGTTTAGGCTTCTATCTGTATCTAAGAAAGAATGCAGAGCTATGTAACTTTTTCTCATCAGTTTTAGTCAACAGAGCTAGTCAGAAACAGGAAAAAAAAAAAAAGATTTTATCTACTCAGGAAATATGATTGAATATGATTGCAGTCTGGAGCTTTTGTTCTTAGAAAATCCCCTTTTGAGGTATTCAGCCTTTCATCTTTAGCTTGCAGAATTCTCTACACTTCAGTTTCCTGATAAATGCAGTTGGCACTGATACTGCAAGTCTTTGAAGCTGGTTGTTAAGCAGCATAGCTTCTGAAGAAATCACTGTTTAAAACATGAATCAGTTCCACATCATATAATCTATAAATTCTAACTAAATTACAGTTTCAGAGAAGAGTGAAATACATAGAATAATGTACATATGGAATTCAAAAATAACACCTTAAAGGAGAGTGTAAAGTAGTCTCATGTGATTGGGTTTAGAAAAAGGATTGGTTTTGGAATGGAGACCTCTCTGTTCAAACTAAAATGGCATCTCTGGCTTCTTGGGTTCTTATTTAACATCTCTTTGTGTTTCTCCATTTTTCAATTGGAAAAATATTTTCCATAACTTTATATTATATAGGTATTCCAAGTTAATCTAATGACATTCATTCTTGTTTATTCATTCATTTTAGGCACTAGATTGGAAAAAACAAACAAGTTGTTTACATTCTTATTGGAGGGGTCAAATAAAAAGTATGAGAAGAAATAATATCAGATGGTGATAAAAAATAATAAAAAAAATAAATTAAGTGGTTTGGAAAGAGATTGTTGCTCCTGGGGATTACCTTGGTAAGGATGGCCCTAGGCAGGTTGCTCTGTGGAGGGATATCGAGCTAAAATCTGAATGGTAAGAAACAGTGAGCTACATGAAGAATGAGGGGATTTCTAGGCACAGGGATCAGCAAGTGCAAAGACCCTGTGGCTGGAATGAATGTCATTGTGGCTGGAGGGTGCTGAATGAAGGGGAGAGAGAAAGGAGAAGGTGTCTGAGAGGTGGTCTGGGGCTGGAGCAGGTTAGGCTGTGTAGGCCACAGAAGTACATGAGTTTTTAGTCCAAGAGTAATGGGAGGTCTAATACCCAAGTTTTCAGGAGGAGGTAATGTGTATATTTCTATGGAGTTAGGCATTATCCTCAGTAAACTTTTTTAGTCACTAAGTCAGCAATGACAGGCAGGTTTTACCTCCCTTACACCATGCCAGTTATAATCAATTAGTAGTGGCTGCTCAGAGTCCTGGGCTGAGAAGGGTTCTGCAGCTAACTAGGATTCCGTTAACATTTGCATCATCACCTGTTAGCAAGGCTGCAATGTGTGTACTGTCCCTGCATTAAATGTTCTAATAAAAGCAGAGCAAAAGGAAAAAAGAGAACTTAAAATTTTTAATTGAAAATACAGTTTTAAAACCAGTTGTTTACTACTGAAAATTTGGAAAATATAAAGATGCTCCAAGAAGAAATGGAAAGTTTGGATAATCCAATCACCCAGAGAAAATCATGATTGAAGTGTTGATGCAGTTAAGGAAGGAGATAGCTGGGTAAGAGATTATGTTGTGTTGCTATTACATGTTTTGAACTTTTTCAGGAGCTGGTGGTGCTTTGCCACCTCCACCACCCCAGCTTAATATTTTTGCTGGCAGCTGGGATTCGTCCTCGAATGTTGGTGATGGAATTAGCCCCCAAGGGCTCCCTGGATCGCCTGCTTCAGCAGGACAAAGCTAGCCTCACCCGAACCCTGCAGCACAGGATCGCACTGCATGTGGCTGATGGCTTGAGGTATGTAGGTCACATTACTTTCTATTCAGTGCATGACAAGCATGAGCCTGAATTTGCTCTCAGGTTCTGAGAGCAGTGGTTCCCAGTAACATTTCATGAACAGTTTGGGTGATCAGCAAGTAAGGGCATTAAAGAAAAAAAGTACCATCTCCTTGATAAAAGATTTATAAGTTCATAAAATAAGAGTAGGAAGACCATGCAGGGCTTCATAGTTAGTAGTAGTAGAGATTGAACCCAACACTCCAGCTCCAGAGACCATCATCTTAACCCTACATAGATTTACACTCCACACTACTGCAATATGGATCAGGCTTCAGAGTATCAAGGAAAGAAAATATATTACCATTCAATAATTCTAATAAGGAAAGATTGGTCCATATTTCTGGTAAGGAAAAAGTGATTAGAATTGGGATGTTCTGCATGACTGCACTGTGCTTCAGAGGACACCCAATCTGCAGTCAGATGATCACTAGACAGAGCCTTGAAGAGACAGTACAGCAGATGGAAAGGCATGGTCTTTGGAGACAGGAAGACTGGGATAAATCACTGCTCCAAACAGTAACTGTGATGTTATATCTGATACTTGTTATTTTATGGTTTTTAAACTATGACTAATACTAATGCTCAGAGTTGTAAGAACTTTTGTAATAATTGAATGCATCCCAAATTAAACTCTTGATTTCTCCCTCCTGTACTATTTCCAATCTCACTTCACCCAGATGCTTTGCTGTGGAATCATCCTTCATCCTCCCTTTTTCTCCCATCCCACGCTGAATCCTTCAGCAAATCATTACAGCTCTACCATCAAGCTATATCTTAATGCAGTTACTTCTCACAATTTCTCTCACACTTCCCAAGTCTAAGCCACTATCATCTTTTATTTCCTAATTGGTCTCCCTGCTTTCACCTTTGCCCCATTATAACCTGTTCACACATCAGCCAGAGTGATTTTTCTAACATGGAAGATGGATCAAGTCTTTTTCCTGGTATCAGTTTTCTACTACTTCGCTTTCTGTTCACTGCTCAGCCTCTTGCCTTCCTGAGATTTCTGGAATATGTCAGGGACATTGGACTTGCTGTTCTCTTGCCAGAAATCTCTGACTCCTAGATATCCAGTTGGTTTACTCCTCATTTCATTCAGGTCTCTGCTCAGAGACGATGTCCCTGATCACCCTGTTTAAAACAGTGCCCTATGTCTCTTGGGCACCTGTAGCACGTATTGCAGCCTGGTATTCTTTATGTTTTCATATTTTAAAATTTGTTGATTGTCTGTCTTTGCCACTAGGATCTGAGTGCCCAATAGCAGGGACTTTCCATCTTGTTCATCATTTTATCCCCAGCAGCTAGAATAATGGGTCATCACATGTGTTGGCATTAGGAAAACAATGCCTGGCACATAGTAGCCACTCAGTGGATGCAGTTTTCCTTCTCTCCTGAAATGCTGTGTGCATACCTTTCAGGAAGTATCTAGAAATGTAAATGAAATAAGAAGTAAGAAAAACAGCTAAATACCCCTTACAAACAAACAAACACAAAACCAGGAAGTTGTAGCTATTAATAGTGTGTAGAGAATATAATGAGTACATAAAAGAAGTAGAATTCCCTTCTTAAATGTGTCTAGAAATTACTGAAAGATACAGAATATGAAATGAAACAGGCTGCAGAGATTTAGGATTTGGGTTGACATATCTGTTTTTGGACACCAGAGGGAAGCGGGTCTTAAATTAATCTGGGTAAAGTGCAAATATTTCTTATGTATTTCAGAGTCTTCTCAGTCACTTTTACTAATTTAGCTAACTCCAAGTCCTAGTTCTTCCACATAATCTAATTCCACATGAATGAGCTAAAGTGCTCACTTATGAGATGCAGAATTGCTGTTTTTGTTTACCACTGTTTATACCTCATCTCTAAAATAGCTTATCCTGGTTCTCTGAAACCTTCCTTTAAATAACACATCCAACAGTTTGTGATGAAATAAATGAACTTTCAGCATGTTTTCTTATAATAAGTCTGATTTATTCTCAGAATAATGCCAGGACAGCTTTCTGGATCATGTGCCACAAGAGGCTAGTAAACTGTCAATCTTCTACCAGCACTAAGTATATTTTTAAAACACAGCATTAATTTTTGTTTCCCAATATATTTTAGCATGGCACTGTAACTACAGAGGAGCCCTGGTGGCACAGTGGTTAAGCATTCAGCTGCTATCCAAAAGGTTGGCAGTTAGAATCCACCAGCCACTCCTTTGGAAACCCTATCAGGTGGTTCTACTCTATCCTGTAGGGTCGCTATGGGTTGGAATTGACTTAACAGCAATGCATATAACTACAGAGGTAGAAGGATACAATAAAATCAGACTCTGTTGTTGTCAGGTGCCGTCAAGTCAGTTCTAACACATAGTGACCCTGTATACAACAGAATGAAACACTGCTTGGTCCTGTGCCATCCTCACAATCGTTGTTATGCTTGAGCCCATAGTTGCAGCCACTGTGTCAACCCATCTCGTTGAGGGTCTTCCTCTTTTTCACTGACCCTTTACCAAGCATGATGTCCTTCTCCAGGGACTGGTCCCTCCTGATAACATGTCCAAAGTATGTGAGATGAAATTTCGCCATCCTTGCTTCTAAGGAGAATTCTGGCTATCCTTCTTCCAGCACAGATTTGTTTGTTCTTTTGGCAGTCCGTGGTATATTCAATATTCTTCACTGACACCGTAATTCAAGGGCGTCAATTCTTCTTTGGTCTTCCTTATTCATTGTCCAGCTTTGGCATGCATGTAAGGTGATTGAAAATATCATGGCTTGGGTCAGGTGCCCCTTAGTCCTCAGAGTGACATCTTTGCTTTTTAACATTTTAAAGAGGTCTTTTGCAGCAGATTTGCCCACAGCAACCCATTGTTTGATATCCTGACAGCTGCGCCCATGGGCGATGATTGTGGATCCAAGTGAAATGAAATCCTTGACAACTTCAATCTTTTCTCCATTTATCATGATGTTGCTTATTAGTCCAGTTGTGAGAATTTTTGTTTTCTTTATGTTGCAGTGCAATCCATACTGAAGACTATAGTCTTTGATCTTCATCAATAAGCGCTTCAAGTCCTCTTCATTTTCAGCAAGCAAAGTTGTGTTATCTGCATATCACAGGTTGATCATGAGTCTTCCTCCAGTCTTGATGCCATGATCTTCTTCATATAGTCCAGATTCTTGAATTATTTGCTCAGCATACAGATTGAATAAATATGGTGAAAGAAACAACCCTGACACAAACTTTTCCTGATTTTAAATGACACAGTATCCCCTTGTTCTGTTCCGATGACTGCCCCCTTGTCTGTGTACAGGTTTCTCATGACTCTTTTGGAGCTCCTTAAATGGTATAGCTCTTCAGAATGACACACTTTCTTCACATTATCCATTCTCTTTCCCACAGTTTTGCCTTCAACTATTAGCTTACGTCTCGAATTCAGTCCACTCCTTTGAGCTCTATATCTTAATTATCAACTACCTATGAAGCTAAGCTACTGCATTTACTATGAACTTCTATAATTCAATATTTTCAAAATTGAATTTGATGCTTTCTCTGCCTACTTCCATCCACCATGTATCTGCTTTTTCTCTGTATCCCCTGCTTGCCAAGCCAGGATTCTTGTAGCTACATCCAGTCCAACTCCATCCCTTAAAAAGTTAGTTTCCATTTCTCTACCAGATCCTTGATTCTATTTTACATCATCTCTTTAATCATTCCATTTATTTTTATGCTACTACTGCTGCCTTGGTCCAGGACCTCTAGGGAATTATCAAGATATGTCTTCTAAAATAAAAATCTAATGATGCTTAAAATATTCTAATCGTTCTCAGTGATCTACAGAGTACATCCAAACTCCTTGGTAAAGCATCAGAATTATTCATGTGTACCTCTTGCCTACCTCTCCAGCCTCGTGGCACTTTGCATTCTAATCATGCTGAAGGTCTGGAATTTCATTTATATCATGCCTCTCTGTCTTTGCATATGTCATTTCTCTCTTTCACCAAATTTGTCTGCCTGGATAACTCATTTTCTTCACGAATTGACTCAGATGCCATCTCCATGGTGAAGCTGAACTGTCCCATGAAGAGTTAGCCTCCATGCAGGACACTGTGTTAAACGTTGAAGAGAGAAAGGTAGAGATTACAGAATTCTTATCAGGGTTGAAAATTTACAGTCTTCACTAACTTTACTGCTGCGCCTTTCCCTCTCTGTGCTTCTCTAGCAAGTGGTGCTTATCATATATCTATAACCTTGTGTGAGCACCTGTTTCCCCTTCTAGACTGTGAACCCCTCAAGAGCAGAGATACAAAGATGGTTTGTAATCCCTGATTACTGGCCCTGATGGATGCATACTACGTATTTGTTAAATGAATGAATGTATTCTATTTTTAGAATCAACTAGGTTGATTTAAGTTGGAATAAAGTTTATGAAGAAAAATTTTTTTTAGCAACTCTCACTATAATCAAGAGCTAAAAAATGACTGAATATAAGACAGTTTATTTTGATAAAATATTTAACAATACTCAATGTCACATAATATGTAAAATATGGTTGAATTATTTTCAGTAAGATTAGATATTACTATTTCAGAAGTTATTTTGCTATTCTATTAAAAGCTATTAAAACTGTACTATTTAAGATTAAATTCTATAATTGAGCATTTTAACTAACTCAGATAACTCCCATTGACATGATTTCAAATTAAGTTTAACTTTTTTTAAGCTTTGAGAAGTATTCTGAGTCTGTATTCTATAAATAGACTGAAAGAGGTGTGCATTGTGAAGGATTTGGAGGCTATTTAATGATGTATGACTTGGCTTTTAACTTTTTTCTTCTTAATCTCCCAGCTTTTCTCTTCAGCAGGACAAGAGTAGCTAATGGCCTTTCAGTAAGCCCTTAGTAAATTTTTCTTTCAAGCCCATTGCTTATTGTTAAGGTCAACTTCATTAGTACATTTACCTTATTTTTCAGCCAAAAATATGTATACTTAAATGAATGGGACCAGTGTCAAATATCCTAACTACATCCTGGAAGAGAGAGAAACTTCAATTGCAGAAACAATTAAATGATACATACACTCTAGTTCGTCACGCAGTAGAAAGTTCAGGGTAGCACTGCCACTCTGCTTCTAATCCCTGTAAGCTGTGATAGGTTCAGATAATGGAGTAAATATTTATCGATACAGTGTGAACCAAAACCAAAAACCACAAACAGAGAATTTAAATTTACTTCCATTAAGTCCTGTGGAAAATTATTCTTTCAAGGTAGGTCATGATATGCTTGTGAGATCACATGGATGGCTGTAGTAAATTTGTCACCACAGGGCAGGGAAGACACTAAGTGCTGAGAAAAATCAGAAGTTTGTAGGTGTGTAAGGAAGGGTGGCAATAGAATTAAATACTTTAGTTAAGGCACAGTAGTACATCTCTGGCCATTTTGCCAGAATGAACAGAACAGAGTTGAGATTAAAAGTTTATGTTGTTGTTTTATATTAATTAGATTTTATCCTTTGCCTGAAGTGTCCAGCTCTAGTTGCTTATGGTTGCATGGATCAGTCCATAAAAGGAAAGACTAACATCACCCAATATCACCTCTCCCAAGACAATGTTTTATTTATTCCAACTGTTGGTCCACAGTGCTCTTTGTTAACCTTAGCTTATAACCGAATTGAGTTTAGAGTAAATTATATCTACAAACAGAGATTGACAAAGTCTTATATTTTGATTTGTTATTATTGAAAAAGCATAAATTATTCTTCAAAAAATTAGGAAATATTTTAGAAAAAATAAATGTCAAAAGAGAAACAAAGAGAATCTTAAAATCTGAGATGAACTGCTATATGGATTGAAGAAAATAAAAAAATAAATGGGAAATACAGCAAAATCTTATCAACTCTTATCTGACATGTTTACATTTTAAAATAATCAAAATATTCATATGATCATTGAGGGAATTTTAAACTCTTTTAAAGTAATTATTAAGATATATGAAAGAAATATTACCAAAAATTGGAATTTGCCTGAGGTGGTTGTCCCTTAAAGTTTAAATCACTCTCACTTTTTAGTCTGGAACTGTCATTTTTTAATATTCAGTATGTATGTTTTGATTTCCTTCTGCAGTATCTCTTAATTAACTTTGAGGGTTAAACTTACCACAGAATTTTTGATACTTTGGATAATGGACATGCACGTTCAAGGAAATTATGACAAAAATATAATAATATAGTCACAATTTAATAATATTAACTATGCATTTTCTGGCAGGTATCTCCACTCATCTATGATTATATACCGTGACTTGAAACCTCACAACGTGTTGCTTTTTACCCTGTACCCCAATGCTGCCATCATTGCAAAGATTGCTGACTACGGAATTGCTCAGTATTGCTGTAGAATGGGAATAAAGACATCAGAGGGCACACCAGGTAGGTGATAAAGTTTACTCTTCAACATGGACAGTCAGTGACCCAGATGTGTGTTGAGAATCAAAAAACTGTAGCCTATCTATGTTTAACTTTGTGTCTGTACCATTTTACAAACCCACCAGGAGTGGATGAAGGTTCCAATTTCTTCACATCCTCATCAACATTTGTTGCTTTCCTTTTTTTTTTTTTAATCATAGCAATCTTAGTGGGGATAATGTGATATCTCATTGTGGTTTTGATCTGCATTTCCCTAATGACTAATGACATTGAACCTCTTTTCATGTGCTTGTTGGTGATATGTATTTCCTCTTTGGGGAAATATCTATTCAAGTCCTTTTCCCGTTTTTTAATTGGGTTGTCTTTTGCTGTTAAGCTGTAGGAGTTGTTTTTAGATATTATGGATATTAAACGCTTATCAGATTTATGGTTCCCCAAAATTTTCTTCCAATATGGAAGTGTATATTCATTTTTTTGGTAAAGTCCTTTGATGAACAAAAGTTTTTAATTTTGATGAAGTCTCATTTATCTATTTTGTCTTTTGTTGCTTGTGCTTTTGGTGTTATCTCTAAGAATCCATTGTTAAAAACTAGGTACCGAAGCATTACTCCTGTTTTTCTAAGAATTTTATGATTTTAGTTCTTACATTTAGGTTCTTGATCCATTTTGAGTTAATTTTCATATATGGTGTGAGGTATGGGCCAAGCTTCATTCTTTTGCATGTGGAAATTCAGCTCTCCCAGCACTTTTTATTATTATTGTCCCAGTATCTTTCCCGATTGAATGGACTTAGCACTCTTTTTGAAAATCACTTGGTTATAGGTATATGGTTTTATTTCTGGACCTTCAATTTTATTCCACTGGTTTGTATGTCTATCATTATACTAGTTATACCAGTACCAGACTATTTTAATTACTGTGTCTCTTTAAGTATGACTTTTAGTATGATTTTAGATCAGAAGTGTGAATCTTCCTACATGTAGATACTAAAGTTTATTAGTGGTTACCAAGGTTAGGAGGGAGGGGAAAAGAGGGTTATCACTGCTTAGGGGGAACTGAGTTTCTGTTAAGGATGAAGGAAAAAATTGGAATTGAATAGTGGTAATTGTTTTACAACATGATGAATATGATTAATATCACTAAGTTGTACATGTAAAGAATGTTAAAATGGCAAATGTTATTGTGATATATACATAGATATATACATAGATATACATATATCACAATTTTTAAAACAATCTTACTTAGTACATTCAAAAAACAAACCACAGCTATTCCCTGTCCCATTGCGTTGTACTAATAATAATAATACTAAATAAAAATAATGATAATAAAAAAACAAAAATATTGTAGACTATCACATTGTGTATAGATGTTTATTGTGTGAATAATTATGAACTTACATTGTGAACTTAATCACCATTTTTTATAGGACAAATTAATATAATTTTCCAGGGCAATAACAAAATAAAAAGAAGAGAATATTTGATATTAAGTTATATTTTAAAAGTTAGATTTTTAAAACATTTAAATGTTCCAGAAATGGTGTAAACATAGCAAAAATTTTAATCTAGGTAAAGTTGACACTTATCTAAAATTACAGCAAAACCCAATCCAGGTCCTCAAACTCTTATTCCTAACTCTGAAACCTAGAGCTCTGAAAACCCAGAGGTTTTCTTCTAACTGATTGTGACAAAACCTACCTGAAATGACTTTGTTTATCACACTAGTGTGAAATTTCTATGCATCATATTAACTTTCTTAAATCTGAAAAATTATAAATTCTTAAATACATCTGGCTCCAAAAGTTTCAGGTAAGGAAATTGGCCCCATTGTTCTTCTCAATTGTGCTGTTCTTGACACAAACATACTTTCTTCTGATAATGAGTTGGTACAGGAGTTAAAACTTTAAAAACTGCACTTCAGTTTTCTTTCTTCATAATTTTTGAGTTGTTTGATACTTCAATATTTCAATACTTAAAAATAATGTAGCATCTGAATTTGGCCTTGTATAGAAAGGTGGCATAGCTTCCAGCATCACAGCAACATGCAAGGGTCATCCATGGCAGACAGGTCTCAGCTGAGCTTCCAGACTAAGACAAATTAGGAAGAAGGACCTGGTGGTCTACTTCTGAAAAGAATTATCCAGTGAAAACCTTATGAATAGCAGTGGAACATTGTCTGATATAATACCAGAAGATGAGCCCCTCAGGTTGGAAGGCACTCAAAAGTGACTGGGGAAGAGCTGCCTCCTCAAAGTAGAGTTGACTATAATGACGTGGATGGAGTGAAGCTTTTAGGACCTTCAGTTGCTGATGTAGCATCACTCAAAATGAGAAGATACAGCTGCAAACATCCATTAATAATCAGAATTAGGAATGTACGAAGTATGAATCTAGGAAAATTGGAAGTTGTCAAAAATGGAATGCATAAACATCAATATCCTAGGCATTAGTGAGTTGAAATGGACTGGTATTGGCCATTTTGAATCAGACAATCATATGGTCTACTATGCTGGGAATGACAACTTGAAGAGGAATGGCATTGGATTCATCATCAAAAAGAACATTTCAGGGTACATCCTGAAGCACAGCACTGTCAGTGACAGGAAAATATCCATATACCTACAAGCAA